TTTGGCTCGTCGCGAACCAACAAAATGAAGATAATTTGGGTCCTTCTTACCAATTTCTTCGCCTTTGGTTGCCTATAGATTAAAAAACATTCACTCATATGACTTACTCAACAGTTAAGCATATGCCAGTAAGGAATGTGTTCATCCGTTTCTCAAGATGATAGGTGGGTGGTTGACAAATAGATTCTAAATCGGTTCCCAACTTTTTATGAACTTCCTTGATCAGAATTCATCCTTGGACCATTGTACTTGTTTTAAGCATTCTTCAATATTTTGTTGAAATTACAATATTTTGATGGTGGAGTTTGGATTTACTGAAATTAATAAAACTAGTTATTATGTGTTGGTTTGTATATATAAAGGTTTAGCATCAGATTTCAAGTTGCAATCCAATATAAAATTTTCCTGAACCGAAGATATCATCTAGGCCATTTTTTTCCATGGTTACAAACAAAAACAAATTTCATCAAAAATTTCGCCAATTGCTCTCCACTTTGAAGAGCAAATAAGCAAAAATCGAACATTTATTTAAAAAATCTGGATTAAAACTATAAAATATGCTTTCAGAATATCTTTAGTACCCTAGGATAAGTCTTTTTATCTTTGTGATACAACCGGGATAAATGAGTAACACATACACAGGGTAAAAAATTTTCAAACACGAAATTGGACTCTTCTATGGAAGCAAAAATGAAGTCTAGACAGTTGGTTAGTAAAGCTGACTTCTGAAATCTTAAGCAACACTAGGCTATTCAATTTGTACCCAGGTTTTACCAGTCTCAATTATCCTGAAATGTCTAATATAGAAAATTTCTGGTATAAGTGAATATCAATTATAAATTAACGATTCATAAGTGTTCAATGTTAACCTAAGTCGTACATCTATCTATTAGCTATTATATATTTAAATGTGGCTTCACTATCTCGCCATGTTTAAGAGTTTTAAACGTATTTTTTGCATATTAAACGAAATTTTTTTTAAAGTAAGCTATATCGTATTCGTATATTGCAATGCCTAAGAAATTGTTTCGATTTTCCTGTTCTTAGGCTAATTGAACGGCCTGAATGTAAGACTGAAGCTTTGATGCCAGCATGGTAGGAGAGAAGGGCAGCGCAGTGTATGGTAGTGAAAAAGTGGGATTCATCTTTCTATACCTCATGTAATGGCTTTTTCGTTCCAGCCTTTAGTTCACCAAACTTAAAATTACGAACCATATGATAGGTGCTGTCACATTTTTCCCATGGATTGCGGATTTGGCCGACTAGTATGAATACCCTAGTCCTTTAAGTTGACGAGACAGGACCATGGTTAAATATTCAAAAGTTTTAAACTAACTTAGATTTGAAAAATTTCACACAATTTGAAAATTGCAACGCTATACTTGGTTGCTGTCAGGATGCTCTCAGAATTGCAGATCTTGCGTTCAAAAGTGACTGCTAGAATTCCTTCAGTTTCCGAGATAAGACGGTTTTTATGATTTTTTGACACCATAATGTGAATTTCCCAACCTTAAAGTTGGGTGGTGTCAGGGCAATTTAAGGGGTTGAAATCTAGCTTTCAAATATATCTGCTCAAATCCTTTCAGCTTTCAAGATATGACGTTTTTATGATTTTGAAAGTTTTTCAAGTAAATTAAATTTAAAAAAACTCAAAAAATTTGAAATTATTAACATTCTAGCTTGTTGCTGTCAGGGTACTCTCAGGGGTTGCAAATCCTTCCTTCACTTGACTGCTGAATGATTTAAATTTTTGAGATAAAAAGTTTTTATGATTTTATCAAATTCTTTCAGTTAAATTTAAAAAGTTTCACGAAAATGGAATTATTTAAACCTTCAGTTGGGCGCTGTCAGCGGAATTACACAATTAATGACAGCGATTGATATACAAACGGCCTATCGAAAATGATTAACTATTTAAACGAGAATCTCATTTTGGAACCTAGCGATTTTGCGAGTGAAATCGTTTCAGAAGTCTTCTTTCAAATATTGGAAGTGCAGTTGTATGCTTTCGGTCATTTTAGTATTTTGTTTCTGAGTTGAAAAAAATACGAAGATTTGAAAGCCAGTAGTTGTTGAGATCGGACCATATTAGTTTTAAAAGAAACTCAAGAGTTGAATTGATTTTTATTGTTCAAATCAAGAAGTAAAAAGCGTTTCTGGATGACCCGTATTTTGTTTCTGTTGCATCAATCTAGTTGATTTTTCATATTTCAGTTTTGAAAAAATGTTACGTTCATTCATTAATCTGTTTGAAGCACCGGAGATGCGTTACGTGCTAGTTTCATTGATATGAATTTTCTCTTTTTTAGTGCGATAGCTGCTTCTGCTTTTTTCATATCTTAATTTTTTGTTCTAGCTAGGTAACTTTTTAATTTTACTTTCTGTGCCGTATCTGATAGTTATTTCGCTCTGCGAATATCATGCTTTATCAAATCAAAACATCAAGCTTTTAGATTAAAAATATTTCAAAAAACGGCGAAATTGAAATAATTTATTTTCAAGTCTCATTCGATTCCGATTCAATAGATTACTGAGTTATTTAATTAAGTAAGCAGCAATATGTGGTAATATGGAAAGATAGCTGTCAAATTGATAATTTCAAAAATTTGATTTTTCGGTTTAGAAAGTATGATTTTTCGGTTTAGAAAGTATATAAGATCATTTATCCACGAGGGATAGGACCAACATACGAGCTGTACAGCCCATCACGGCGAACCGCTGTTGTGCCCTGCTTAAGAACTACATGCAATTTTTTTGGTTATTTAGACTTTTCTTCCTAATTTCTATTGGAAAACAGACATTTTGGTCTGTAAGGTTCAAGAAAACATTTTTTCTCAATATGAGTCTTATTGTCCGAAAATATGACTAGAATGGTTTTTATTGTAAACTGTTTCCATCGTTTTTATTGTAAACTGTTTCCACAGCTTTTTAAACATGAATAGAATGAATTTTTTTGTAAATTGTTCCGACAGCTTATAAGCCTACGATTGTTTTTTGGCACTTGTAAATGTTGTTACCGCATAGGTTGATTAACATCTATTGACAGCGTCATTGATAATAGAACTGGATTTTTTGGCACATAAGCACTACGTACTGATGAACCTTCCTTTCCTTCCAGTTAACTACGATTTGGTTTAATTAGATGCCTTTTCCTAATTCCGCTTCGGGGCCTCTAAAAAGGATTAGCACTCTCTCTCTGAGCTGATGAAGTTTTCAGTTCCAATCAACGAGCAACTGAATTGCGATCGCAACCAAAGATGAATTTCCTTATTACAACCAACGTCTCGAGAGTTATCTGAAGAAGTGATTATAAATTTAAAAGGAAATCAAAAGAGGAAATAAGAGTGAAACTCAATAACACGATCAGTATTTTTCTACTCTCACACAGGCGAGTTATTAACGCCATGCATGGATCGAGGGTTTTCGCCAACGAGACGGTTTTTTTAAAATGACCTTTGACGTTCGCCCTATATTTTACGTGTAGGCTCTTTTAAATTTGTTCAGCCAGAACTTGAGGATTTTTGACCCAAATTTTCTGCAATGCATGCAACTGAAAATCAAAATGGGCCTTTATGATCATGTTTTGGAAAGTTTTGCCCCAAAAATTTTGTTCCGAAAATTTTTAGGTGCATCGACGCAAAATGTGTGTCATTTATTACCAAAAAAGGGGGGTCAAGGGGCCGAATACCTTCCCAGTTTGAATAGTTCCGCTGATATGTACAACATAAGGTATTCATCGACGAAGTGATTTCTAATTCATCTAGGTCAAATGGTTTAAGAAACAAACTTCAAGTTTTCACGCTCATTTCTATATTTGGCGGCTAATCTTTCAATTTTTTTCTTAGCTTAGTTCAAATTCATCTGCTTACTGTGCAGCAAATTCCGTTCTCTGATGACAAAAGTGCAATTAGCCTCCAAATAAAAGGTTATGAGCTAGAATTTTAGGAAGAAATGAGGTACCTTGCGAAACTAAGGTATAAGCAACATCTAGCTTAACTTAAAAAAGCTCTCAAACCTCACGGCCAAAATTTATCACTACAGAATGTTTTCCTATAAAAAGTATCTAGTTAGACTTCCCAACGTATGTGGAGCTAGTATTGCAAAATGTAGTTGTTTTACGGATTAGCCAATAAAACGGAGTTTAATAAAGGAAGCTTAAAACGGAGCTTAATATAGGAAAGATATTTCACCTGTGATCTCTTTTCATGAAGTAATGGGAATTGGAAATTTGCCATTTGGGTTAGTTAATATACGGATTATTTCCTGTTCCATTATGGCGTAGCGTAGCGTATGCAGCAAATTAATCCGGCTCAGATATTGGTCCAAGAGTCGAACCATTTCAAATTTTGATCTTATGTAAAATCAAAAAAGTATTTCAGATACCTCAAGGGGAAGTCAGTTTTGAAGATTGTTGTGGTTCTTGTAATTCACAATTGAAAACATGTCTCACCTATGATTAGGTTTCATTAAGTTAGGGGTCTTTGAAAATGCCAGTTTGAGATAATTGACGCGAGATATATTGCGAACCTATTGCATTATGCTCTCCACTCAAATTTAGTATATTTGGCGCCGAAGACATCTTTAGAAAGTACAAAGGGGAACACTCTGCGCCGAAGACACCTTTAGAAATATAGTGCAAAGGGGGACCCTCCCCCCTAAATCCGCCAGTGAGCTGAGGTATAATATTAAAGCCATTTCAGTCGTGATTTGTCCTCAAAAATAACGTGTTCCATGTCGATAAAAACTGTTTTTTTTTTCTTCTATTTTTCAGACTAATGATGCAGTGTCGAGAAAGATTTAGTGTCGATAAAATACCGAAATTTTTTCATTTTTTAAATTAATGATTTTTTTTCTGACTGGAAATTTCCGGTAGTTGTGGTAGAAATTTTAAATACAAATTTTCTGAGCCTTTATTATCTATGAGTTGGATTATCGTGAATTTAGGAAAGTTTTCAAGTTCTGAAGCTAGAATTTCGAAGCAGGTGCTGTTGTTGTTCTAGGCTCCGATTGGATGTGTGGACCTGAGGCGCTGTGTGGAAGTGGTAGAAGTGTCGAGGAGTGTGTGTGCCATCCCACACGCATTCGCTCTCAACATGCAAGAGCCCTACCAAAGCGACCCCTCCTGTGTCGTCAATTACAGGTATTAAAACTGCTCAAGTTACCATAAGTTGCATAGGGTTGGAAATTTCATTTTTGATTAAGAAAATTTATCGACGCAGAGCTAATTATTCTGACCGAATTGGTTCAAAAGGAGCAAAAAATGCATATTTTTTCAATTAATTTCAAGTTATTTCATTTGCTTATAGTATTAAGAGTTATGAACGTAATGAGTACTTTTATATAGGTCTTGCTGATTTTTTTTCAAGAAAAAATGTGAAAATTTGTTCACGCTCAATTTTGATTTTTCGCAGTTTGACTTGTAATTTTATTAAGTTCATGGCATTTCTATTGTTAAAAGGAAGGCAGTTTCCACTATCGAGCAGCAAAAGTGTAAAAGTAAAAAAAAACGTGATCGACTTCTAATTTCAAAAATGGAAATTAATTAAAAGATTTCCCAGCGAAATAAAAGTTTTACGTATTGATCCAGTTTTTTCAAATTGGGTTAATTGTAACAAAAAAGTGTCCATCAGAAATTTCTCTTCAAATTCAAAGAGCTTTAAGGCCGTCTATTTTGTTCTTCGAAATTCAAAAGTTGAAGATTTTTGAAGAAAAAAGTTTTTTTTTAAGTTTCCTTGCGTTCATTACTCTTTCCAACTGTCAGTTGGCTATGTTCAATTTTTTTAGAATCGATGAACGTTGCTCAGACTCATATTAGTCGTGATGATTTTTTTTTCAGGAAAAGTCTTGAAATTTTCTCAGGCACTAATGTACTTTTTCGCGGTTTGACTTTTGATTTCTTTTTATTTTCAGTTCTTTTTTTGTTGAAAGGAAGGCAAATTCCACTAATGAACAGCAGAATATAAAAGTCCCTAAAAACGTGATCCAATTCTAATTTCGAAATATGAATTCCATTTTCAGATTTACCTGCGAAATAAAAAGTTTTGCCTTAATGCTCCAGTTTTCTCAAATTGGGATAGTTTTGTCAAAAACTGTCAATCTTAAATTGTTCTTAAATTTCAAAGAGTATCAAGGCCATCTTTTTTGGAAATTTGAAAGTAAGTGTTTTTTTTCTGTTTCCTTCCGTTCATTGAATTTTTTCTTATTGTCTGTTGGCTATGTTAGTTCGTTTTGAATTTCAAATATAAAGCTTGAAGGACAACCATTGCTCCCTTTATCGCCTTGTCCATGTAGTTCTCGATTGAACTATTAAAAGACCTGGGTGATTAAATTAATCTAAGAGTTTGGACTTTTTTGCGTTGAACACTAAAGGTGACTATTTCGAATCCACTTCCTAAACCCACCATTTTTTTTAAAAAAAAAGAATACATTGCATAGAATTCATTTTTGGTATATTTGGTGCTTTTCTTAGTTTTTATTGGCTATCAAATTTTAAGTGCCAGGGAGTGTTTTTTTGTAAATTAGATGCATCTCTTGTCAAGTTCAGATGATTTCATCATTTCGGTTCAACGAAAGTGTTGCAACCAAAGAACTTCCCTTAGTGCTCACTAGCTTTGAAATTGGATAGGCTGTACCATCTATTTTGAATAGACAGAGCACGGTAATTGAATGAGGCATAGAATTTAGTTTCCAAATTTATCAAGTTCTAATTGCAGGTTTTTTTCAATAACTTGAAAGTCATTATTCATTTAAAAGAACTCTAATCAAGGCGTTTTCCCTTTGACAAGACGGACGATATTAGATACACTTCAACCGTGGTAGAAGTGCTATTGGTGATATAAGACGAAACACGCATTAATTATCTCGAGTAGAAGTAAACTCTACCTTTTATAAGCAAATATTTTCACGGGTTAACGAATGTGAATCGAGAAAAGTAAGTGGTTCAAACCAATTGAAAATGGAAACTGGATTAATAATATAACCCTTTAGAGCCGTCTTTTCACTTACACTTACACTGAATAATCTTACACTTACTCTTAATCTTGCATTTAAACACCTGAAGTCTTATTCGTTTAACAGCTATCAAAGCCATATTCGTTATTTATTTATGCAAGCTCTTTCGCACTCATTAGCAAAATTGCCAATTGTAAAAAAATCCCTATTAAATTGCTCTTTTGATCGCAGACTAAATCATCATGCTTGACTGAAGAAATTTTTCGGATGGCCGACTTTATAGATAACTCAGAAGGCGCGTTGGGTGCAAATTTGTACTTAATTTGAATTTTGAGAAGAAAGAAAGCATTTACAAGTACAAGGGGAAAGAAAGCATTTTGTGTTTGAAGTACACGGGGAATGTGAAATTTGGCCCTTGATTCGCGCAGTATTTGTTTAATTATGTTTTTTCTCTCCATTTTTTTGCTTCTGTCGATTCGCTTGTTCCGGATACTGGATTTGTTTTCATTCGTCGAATTTCCATAAACCCTTGTCTTACTATGCTGTAGGATCTTCAAACTGCGTGTTGAAGGTCCATTAGACAATCTTTGCCGTTCTCAACGTACCGCTGTTTACACAAGCAAAGCTTGTGTTATAGTATGAACTATCTTTTTTTTCCAACCTAAGTCGCAAATATTGTTGCCACGCAAATATTGTTGCGATAAATTGTTTTCATTTTGAAAGTGTTCATCTTGATCAATAACCAGCAATTAAGTACAGCCAATGCTAAGGATATTAAAACCGACTATTATTGCTCCGACTTTCGTAACGAAAGTAACGGAATATTTGTGCTCGGGTGGTTTTTTTTTCTTCAGACAAATTTCGACATTTTAACTAGCCATTTATGACGGAATTTTTTTGTAAATATTATTCGAAAGCTATTGTTGTACTGAGCTTAAATTTGGAAAGATATTTTACCTGTAATCATTTTTCGTAAAGTTGTGGGGGTTAAAAAAAAATTGTCATTTTGGCCTATTTGGGACAATTAACAAAAAAATCTCAAATTAAAAAAATTCATTTTATTTTTATTATATTTAATTTTTTCAAATTATTACTGCTCCATAGACTGCTCTATAAATTGAGGCATGTTAGTTTGTCTTTTTTTTGAAATTGACTGGTACTGCTAATTTTTTAGACTCAAAGTTCTACTCATTCAGTTTTTCCCAGTAGCGTTATCGGTCATTCGCCTCTGTGTTAAATTTCGACTACTAGCTTCGTGCGTTTTTCTGCTGTTGTTTGGGGGCTCTCTTCACAATCTTATCACGTTTTGAGGCTTGTTTTTAGACAGCATTTTACCTAAAATTTTCGTTTAGCTTTAGTTAAGAGAGCACCAAATAAAAAACTTAAATTATTATGGGGACAATCGTTGTATAAAAATCGTAAAAGAGGATGGAAAATGGATCTTTTGGCGTGAGATTGGTATCATGCCATAATCAACTGAATACGATTATGGTCGTATTTTTTCATTGCAACTTCAGCACAATTGAATTCGCACGTTGCTAAACTTCATTTCTATTAATAGTACGAATTAGATATTTTATCAATTAAATGATCTTATGGCATATATCTCAAATATAAAAACGGGACAGGCTTGTATGAACAAGAAGTGAATGCCGTTTAATTTTTAATCATTTTCGAACATTATTATTAAACTATAGAATTCAAGACCACCCATAAAGTTTCCTAGAAGAAAAACAATTTTTTTTCCATCAAATTTACCAGTACTTGTTTAAGAATCAGTCCTATGCTGTCAAACTTTAGGTTAAGGACAAACTGCAATTGCGGTTTTTGGAGAGATTTTGATGCCATTTGGGAAATTGCCAATCAAACTAAGTGCAATTAAATTCAGAAAGGGAAGAAGTTATATCAGAGAAGTTATGTCCGAGAGAAAACGACAAAACGAAGAAAATATTTGTTCTTTTTTTAGTTGATAACTAAAATTACAACTAATGTGCCTCATGACTGTAGAAAAAAATGTCTGTCATAAGTTTGATATGATAATTAATTCATTTTAGCAGTGACGTGCGCAGAATTTTTCTAGGGGTTTCGGAAAATTTTAATTTTGTCGACCTTTTTTTTTAGTTCGACCAATTTGGTTTTCCGAACTCTCCAAAAACTCTATTAGGACCCTATTTTTAAAAACAAATTTCAGCAGTGTCGTGTGTTAAGCACCGCCTGCACACACGAAAAAATCCCCCTCCAAAGTTAGCCTAGGTTCATTCTCCTAGGTGTGATGCTTCTTATTTTATTTTCCTTAGTGCCATCATTATGTATGCAAAAGTGAAGCATAACGGAAACAGTAATTGATCTGGTGTCAGATGGTAATTGTAACGCGTATTTCGGGAAGGGATTTCTGCCATATTAGGTTTCTATCCGTTTTAGACAGCTGCTGTGCACGGACTCGAAGGAATCGAAACTAGAGTGGATTCGAAATTTAGAAATCGTCATTCTTAATCTGAAGACCTGGTCTCAATCGTGAACTCCCCTGAGATGATGATGATATACTAGCTTCAATTTATTAATTTCAATTCTTGCCATCGTAACTGAAAAGATGAAGGCAACGAAAGATTAAAACAGCCATTAATTGAAAACTTTGAAATTGTTTTTGCTTCAAGTTTGCAGTTTTGTGTGATTAATAGATTTTATCGTTGAGTGAGTTGATGCTCCAATTTTTGAAGTTTGTCGATTTACATTAATTTTAATTATTGTTATTGTCCATTTGTGAAACTTTGGGAATTAAACCTTTTTAAGCATTGATCTCACCTTGAAAGAAATGAGCAGATTATTTTAGTTTTTCGCTAAATAGGGATGTTTTTTTGGGGTTTCATTAGAGCTTGAAGACCAAAATGGTCACCTTAAGATGGTGTCAACCAAAACCTTCATAATCTACAAATTTCATTCTCACTAACGCGCCATCTTTGGGAACGATTGAAATTCGACTCCCAAAAAAATGAAATTGATAAATTAAGACCAATTAGCAGATGTGTTCTCAATAGGTATTGTAATTACTTGGGGCAAACAGGGGCGTATATAGGGGGATGTGGCACCCTTTCCTCCTCAGAAATTTGACCCAAAGGGGCCACCTTTGATTCTATTTTATGATATCCATTTTTAGCCGATTAACCGTAAAGTTTTACCACCGGCGCTTTCGCCGCCAAAATATACTAATTGTGAAGGAACCTGAATAAGACAAAACCAAAGTTTTTGTCTATAACTTGCCCAAAGAAAGGTCTTTTGTGCAAAAAGAGATCTCGCATAATCAGTTTCATGAGCCTGAAAAGATCGATAAAATTATTTGTAGTCCTCGCGCAAAAATTGTAGATCCGCCCGGGGTCGAAAGTTCAATTTTAGTATGACAAGGTTTATTTCGTATTTCAAAAGTGAAATTCGAATGTGTGAGGGGGTGGAGTGGGGGGATGTGTGAAAAGAGCCTGAAAGGATTGCGAAAAAACGCTTGTTCATAGCTGGCACTAATTAGTTGCTTCCAAAGGGAATACATACAGGTAAGCGCAGATTTCGTTTGACAGGTGGTAAATCGAGATGAGGCTAACGCTGAAAAATGTCTCCGCGTGCTAATTAGTATAGAATTCTCCGATCTATTACCGGTAGTTTCTAACGTTCAGGGATTTCCTGCACCATTTCATGTGGCTTTCTATTAAAAACCACTGAAACAAAGTCAAAGTTAACTTTTCTGTGAATAGTTTTGTCAGTTCACCCCTATAGAGGAATCACAACGGCTGAACCAAACGGATGAGTATCGAACCTCGTAACGAATCCCAACTGTTCACTTTATCGGATTGTCAAATAAATCCATGGACATAATTACAATCGACCAATAGGTCGAACAAAAAAGCCGTGAGCAGGGGGTGAATGTAGTTTTTTTTTCAACACTGAGAAGCTAATTTTCCCAATGATTGCAAGTTTTGCTTATGCAAGTTTTTGAATAAAAAAATCACCTTTTTGACGCGTTAAGCCTCGATTTAGGTGTGCATTTGCGTCGAAGGCGTCTTAAAAAAATTGAAAGTTGGTTGCCCAAAAATGAGTGCCGTAAAATAGTATCACATGGAGTTCCCTATGAGTCATCACAGGGGAGGCTCTAGGGTTTTCTCGAGGCAAAATTCTGTCGACTTTTTTTAGGCTGATCAAATTGATTTTTCGAGCTCTTCCAAAACACTAATAAATCCCTGTTTTGGCCAAATTTTGTGCGCCGCAGGCAAAATTTAAAAAAAAACTGGCATAAAAAGGCGTTTTTAGGCACTTTTTGAAAAAATTTGACGAAAAAATCTCGTTTTTTTTACGCATGCGCCCCCCCCCTCAATATTTTTAGGGTCCGTCACCAAAAATGGATATTTCGAAATGGTTCAAAAGGGGGAACCTTTGGGTCGGCAGGGGGTCGAATCTGCCGGCCCTAAATCCGCCCCTGGGTCATCAACATCATCATCATCATTATCGATAGTTAAAGACATTGATCAGATAATCGACGATGGGTGATTTCTAATTAATTCCTGAAATAACTAAGGCTGCCATCTCAGAGTTCCATAGAAGTTGCAAAAATTACGGGCCAATTTGGAAATGCTACTAAAAAAGATGATAAATTGATACTTTGTTTTTGCTCAAACACCATTTGAAGTTTGTTTTTGTTGTAACGAAATTATTTTGCATTTAGCGAGGAAATATAATGATAATCGGCCGTGTTTTTGTAGCATCAATTCGTAGCTCTTTCTAGAAATGGAATGAGTGTCCAGATGACGTACGTCATATATAAAGTTTGTTTCAATTCTTCGAAATTTCTCCACCATACTTTGATTTTCAAGCTAAATTACAGTTATTCCCTCTACCCCACATTTGATATTCAATTTTGAAAAAGTAATTTAGCGTTGTCATAAAGTAATAAAATTTTGCATGGCTAGAAAACTAGCCCTTTGAACAGCTTTTTGTTCATAGTTTTCACCGTAACATTATACTTTTAGCCATTATAAGACGTTGAACTACTAAGAAAAAAATTCAAAATGAGAGAGGGACTTTGAAAAAAGCCCAAGTTACATCATTTTAACGTTTTCTTAATTCTAAGATCTAGATTACGCTTGTCTAGCTTTCTGCTATGTCATCAATGAGGTTTTTCACCCTTACGATTAGCAAGGGTACTGCAATTGGGTACTAGACTTTTTTCCAGTAAAAAAAATTTAGGCACAGAATGTTCAAATGTGTATAAATGGTAAGTTTCGGATATGCTCAACTTCAGACATGCTCAATATCTTGAAAATTCGAATAAAACTACCTTCATTTAGGTAGTAATAGGTGTAGTCGTAGTCTGTTTCCGACGTTCATTTGTTTTCAAATCATTTTCTCGAAAAAATGTTCATATTTTTCGGATTCGTGGTTTTCGGCCTAGTTTCCGTCGGTCCATTTCACGATTTTTTAAAAATGATTTTTTTTATTTGCTAATGTTTTTTTGGCTTTTTTTGCTAAGCATGGATTTTATATAATTTATGATTTTTATGAGCTTATATTTTCTGGCATAATGACCTTATTTTGCTTTGTTTCGAGAACAAAAGTTTCTGCTGAACAAAATCAGGTATTATTACATATGCGAGAGCAAGTGTCTTGAAATCGGGAACAAAACTTTTTCCAGTAAACAACTTCCGGTTCCTTCTCATTTTGCCTAGAGCTAACGCCGTCGCCTTTGTAGCCTAAGGTCTTGGGGTCGACTTTCGCCCGGACCTTGTTTTTTTTCGGTATATATGCAATTGAAAAAAAATGGTAAAAATTGAATTGTTGGACAACCGTTTTTCTGCTAAAATTTTGTCGTCTTAGTTGTCCTGTAAACAGTTTTCAATGCAAGTGCAAAAGTTGTTCTTTTTAGGTCCAGAGAGTCGGACTTGAAACTTTAAAAAAAATTAAATCAACTCGGTTTTCGGCTCAACATGCATCTGCTCAAAAATTGTCAGCTTAGTTACCACATCACTGATTTTTTTTCTTATGCTGTAGGCAAATTCTTTTGTAGTTGAAAGTGCAAGTGTTGTTGATTTTAGTCTCAGGTGGAACTTAAAAATGAAATCATAATTTTTCTGTTCAAAGATTGCCCGCTTTATTTTTTCTTTGCAAGTTTTGTGTCCGTTGCTAATTTTATTTTCAAATTGCTTACATGTTAGCCTAGAATGAACTTCTATCAGGAAATACGAAAATTTAAATTTTGGTGGAACTAGTTTTTTTTAACGCTTTCCATTTTTTTGACTTCTTATGTTTGTTACTTTTGCGTTTAATCGCAAAAGGTGCGAGGCTCAACTTCGCCTCTGTGTTATATGTTGCTTTTTTTTTAGAAATATCTAATGACCCAAATAGAAGGCGAGTGGGTGGATGCAAACGCTGCTGCCAGCTTCCGAAATAAAGGTAATTCCATTAAACTGTGGAGTTGAGCTTTGTTGAGACAGTGATAACGTCACTTCAGAATCAAAAGACAGCCCAGTGCTCTAATTTACAGAGGAGATTTTTCACTGAATTAACTTCGTTGAATCATAAAATACAGAAGAAAAAAAATGCTACGAACAAAACTACCACGGAGTTAGGACACCCATAACTAAAATAGTTATCATTCTAAGATTATTGTTCGTTTGACGGCTTTGTGAACGTAATATATTTTGATTTTCGATCCATTAATTCACTTTTGTTTGATGCGCTGTAATTCAGAAGGAATCGTGGACGCTGCTGAATTTCTTCCCGTAAAAATTAGGTTATCCGTAGAGTTTTCACACAGCATACGGGGTTCAGGTTGAGCAGACAATCTTATTGAGGCCCCAACGTTATTTGAACTGTCATAGAAACATTGAAAATTTCAAGTGCTGAGTATTTTAGATGGCATTTTTTTTATCTCCACTATTTCATTTATTCGTGAGGAGTAAAGGGACCACATCATAATTAGTACGGTACGTTTCACCCTCACATATTTGGTTCCAGCTTTATTACAAGACTGGGCGTGAGTACGTAAAAGACTATCTTTTTTGAACATTACTTGAACTATTGGCACAGGTCAAAAAGCTTAAATCAGCGCCTTCCCCTATCGGAATTGGCAACGCCGTAGGCTCAAATGGCCCGTTAGTGCAAAGATTTACATGGACACGCTTTTTTTAACACAAATCGTTATCTCTAATCCTGATCAATATCTAGTCTGAATTAATGGACTCCAGATAGGCAATCTCTTAATAAGATAAACTTCCGCATACTGATCAACAAATCAAATCAGGGAAAGTGAAAAAGATTTGTTAATCTGGGTCGTTTTCGATTGCATCAATGCATTTGAAAAATAAATCTGGTATCAAACGCTCTAACTATTGTGAAGCGTACTGCGTAATTTCAAATAATTTCCAAATATAATCTGAAGTTTTACTCAATTTTGGCAAGCGAAATAAATATTAAAAATTACAAAACGGCGCTTTGGTGAAGCAAAAAATCCTCGCTTTACTTGAAAAATAGACCATAACCTCAACCAAAGAGCGTAATCTAAAAATCTTATCTAATATAATTTTATGAAAAGAGCGTAAATTATACCAGGGCAAATCGAGGAGTTTCTTGTTAGTGGTTCTTTGAAAATTTTTCAAAAACTTAGCTAACCTGTTTTTAAGAATCAATGAACGTAGTTCAGACTCATCCAAAATTTTTCCAAAAATGCTCTGAAAACAAAAGAAGCGCATTCATAATTATAAAAGCACATATGAATGCCGTCAGGTATAT